TCTTTTGTTTTTTCATGAAAAAAAAACTAATGAGGAAATAATTGAGCTAGGTACCAGTTGTGATTTTTTTTAGATAATAACAATTTTTAAAAAAAAATTCAATGAGATTAGTGGGTGTTAACGGGTTCAATTTCCTAAACCCAGTACTCTTAGCCTCCTTTTAAAAAATCAAAGTAGTTCGGAGAATTATCAAATATTTTGCCGATTTTTGGATAAAACGAGATACTTCGTCCTTCGTCACGTCAACAATTTAACTCTAACACTGGAAACATTTTTATTTTTGAATAAAAGTGAAATTTTAAAAGGGGCCATTCAAATATTACGTAAGTATATTTGTGGCAATTCTGAGCCTGCTCTTCTCCTTAAGTCTCCTTGTTTTATCGATTTTCCAAATTGTAAGTTTACTTTGAACACCCAAAACAGCGGAGAAAGTCTGAAATAAAGGGTTTGTATGTTTGTTTCCATTGTCTCTTATAATCCTATACTATTATTTGTGCTGGGATCTTGAAATTTGGACAACAGACGTGCGAGATAACTTTATCCTGCTGTCCTAAAAATCGTATTCAGAAATACTCAACCTGGAATATATATATATACACTACTGGACATTAAAATTGCTACGACAGGAAGGAATGCAAATAACAGAATGATATTTATTGAACACATACATTATAGTTGGAAGAACAAACGATTAAATTTTCAAAATATTTGGATCCTAAGGAATAAGTACTCAAAGCAGCCTCCCCTGCTGGGCATCGAGTCGAATAGAGATTGAATAGCATGGACGGGTACAGCATTCCACGCTGCTTCAACATTACGCCACAATTCATCGACCGTAGTGAGTGGTAGCGTGCCGGTAACCCTTTGACCAAATGTTTTCAATTGGTGAGAGATCAGGAGAACGTGCTGGCCAGGGTAACAGGCGAACATGTTGTGCGTCAAGGAAGGTCAGGATAGGGCGGGCAACACGAGGTCGTGCATTGTCCTGCTGAAACGTAGCGTTAGGGAGGCATCGAAGATAAGGCAGAGTAACTGACCCTAACACATCAAAAATGTAACAGCTGATGTTCAAAGTGCCGGCAATACGAACAAGAGGTGATCGAGACGTGTATCCAATGGCAAACCATACCATTACTCCAGATGATGGGCCCGTATGACGATATCGAATGCAAGCTGCCAACGGGCGCTCTCCACGATGTCGCCAAACACGATGCTGTATTCAGAACCTGGATTCGTCTTAAAAGACGACGTCATGCCATTCGTGAGTCCAGGTTTTTCGTTGAACACATCATTGGAGGCGCTCCTGCCTGTGATGCATATTTTTTCTAGTGCATTATGCATTTGTTCGTTTGATCTTTTCTCATCGAGTTAATTTGTACATATTAATAGAACTTGTGTATTTGGTTATTTTTAAGCACAGAAGTGCGGTTTAAGGCTTATTCATCACAATAATTATAATTCAGGAAATCTTACCTTCCTTCCCACAAAAAAAAAATTTTAAAAATCAAATTATTTTTTGATGATGAGCTCACTTTCTTTAATTTTATAAATACATCTTAAAATCAATTATTTTAACATAATATTAATAAAAAAAATAATTCTGTAAAAGGTTAATTTAACTTCTGAATCACTCAGAAAAAAAGTGCAAATGGAATTTATTTTTACGTGATTTAGAAGAAAAAAAAGTAATGAAAGTATTACACTTCCCAAAACTTATAAGCAAAATTTAAATTTTACAAATAAGTTAACAATTAGTTACATAATGTATAAATTTAAAATTTATCAAACAGAGTTATTTGATCAATAAAATTGAAGGCTTATTCAAGTAAGTGTGGCTAGATTTATTTAAATATTTTTATGTTTCCAGGAGACACCGCCCCATAATTGTTTCTCATTCATCATTGTTTCGTTTCTTTAAAAGTCAGTATTTTCCATACAGCAAAGAAAATTTTGTTCACAATTTATACAATAATTGTGTTGTTGTTGTTTCTATTGCCGCTTACCATGTCTGCAAGTCTGCTTGGGAAATCAATTGAATTTAAGGCAGATGGTGCGTTTCTACTTCAGTGGCTCCATTTATGGCCAACAATACAATTTCAGCCACAACCGTTCATTGATCCACAGATCGTAATTTTGATCTGAAACAGAGAATGATAAATCTTCGATTCAGTATCCCATTATTGATTTGCTGTGGGAACTTGGAAAGCTTAATGACTCAGACAGATTTAACGTCCACCAGTCACCATTTAATATACGGAATATAATAATAGTAATCTTATATAAAAAATATTTAGTCAATATATCAATCGTTAAAAAATCAAACTATCTCCTAGTTTTGAAAAGTAATCATCTGTATTTTGAAAAGTAATCTCTCTTTTTTTTTTCTCTTTTGAAATAACCTTTAGCGAGAGTTAATAAAATAAAGATCTCGAACCAGAAAAATAAATTTTTCTACAGTAGATAAACAGTCAATATTTAAAGCAAATAAAAACTGATTAAAAAAATTCACGAAAACAATTAAAATTTCAATAACTTTAAAGCAGATTAGGATTTTTTTTAAATCGCTTTAAGGTTACCTAATAAAAATGGCTTAGTATCTCAAATATCAACTATCTAGTTGCACTTTAGTAACCAGCAAATCAACTCCCGTGTTAATTTTTTACTACAAGTTTAACACTTAATAATTCTCGAATTAATTAGTTAATGGAAAATTCCTTTATTCAGCCGTGTCACCCGTCTTGGACAAATTTCACTCATTCTTTTTAAAAGTCATTATGACAACCTTTGATTTTACTTATATTTTTAGAATTGTTGTCAGAAATGCTCTAAAATAATTATTAATAAACTAGGAGGCTCCGCCCCCTGCTCACCAACCCCCGAGAATTGCTACGCAATCCTATGTGGTTCACGCCGTGAACCATGGCTCGCTGCGCTCGCTCGCCAATGAACACAATGTTCTAGCACAAAGACATAATATATTATCATCAAAGACATAGTATTTTATCATCAAAGACATAGTATTGTACTTATGTAGAAGAATTCTACCAATGTTCTTATTGGCTTTTAAAAAAGTATATTAGCTATTTAGATTGTACATGGTGAAAAAATCAAAACATTAGCTAAATAAGAAACATATTAGCAAAATAAATTATCAAATATTGCTTCACTAATATTCTGCATTTTAAAGCGTGAAAATTCAATGCATAAATAAACGCGAAATATAAAAAAAATTCAATGCATTCAATACAAACACTTAAACGTTTTTTAGACGTTTAGGTAGCTCCCAGTAGAAAAATATCAATTCAACAGCGGCCTTTTAAAGCATTCTCACTTCAATTATTTAATTAATTCCTAATTGAGTTTAAATTAAATATTGTCATGTTTTAGTGCATGAATCTGAATTGAACAACCTGATAATGCTCACTCTGGTTATTGTTATCTGGTTGCTCACTACGTGCTCTTGCGCGCCGAATCCAATCAATTAAAAATGAAAACTGTTGCCAGCGCGAGAAAAGAAATATCATCGGCTTTATTGATACATACATACATACGTACGTATTAGCGTTTTATATAATATAGAAGACAAGCAAAAATAATACATTATTAAGTCAGGCATCATTTTCCAAGTTTTAGTGAATTTTATTTTAAAGAAGCATGCTGAGATTGAATTAGTTTAATGTGATAATATTAATCTATTGCTAATTTATTGAAATATTATATACACTGTAAATTCATGATGAAACTAGTTTCACCCACTAGAAATGATATTGCAATGAAGAGAGGTGTATCAACAGTTATCTGCAATACAATACTGTTATGGATCGATAGATATTTTTGGCCGAAAAATTAAACAATTATATTGTTTCTCTTTTTTTAAAAAAAAAAAAATAAAGCTTAAGAGCGCCTTTTTAGATTTTAAGTCAAATAAATTTGTTTTTTTCCTTACTGTTTTTTTTTTCTCCTCAATATATTTTTCTTTTAACAAACTTGATAATAACCTAACATCCTTCGATTGCAGATAACTTTTAAAAAGGGCAAGAAAGAAAAACTTCACGTAATTAGATTGAGAAAAATAGCAGCTGATAGCTATTACAGGGCTACCAAATGGCATATTCTCCCTTCATAAGCCCGTTTTTTAGCCATCTTTTTAATGTTTTGGTAATCTTTCAGATGATTTGAAAGTCGGTTTATGGCATTCTTTCCAGTATGTCAAAGTACTTTTTTGTGTGAAAGGAGTGGACGACGGCACTGAGCATTATTATTCGTAAGACATCTCAATTCTAGACAACATTAAAAAAAAAGTAAAACGTGCAGATCATATTCCTTGATTTTATTGCTATCTCATTGAATTGTCTGCAGTGCCGCTTATGTGTGCTAGGTGTTACAGTTCAGTAAAGTTAATTTTTAAATATTAAATCATAGGAAGGACTCCAAGTGAAATTCAAGACATATTGATTAATTTTATATAAATAAATAAATACATCAAAAAATAAATAAAATAAAACATTAAAATATTAATTTTGCCGATAAATTCATTTAATTTCTATTTTTTACCATATTTCCAAGTTTAAAAAGTTACAGTTTCCTATAATTTTTTGAAAGCATTTACGATTAGTTGTGTCCAAATTTCTTATACATTCACTGAAAATTGTGCGGAATGGTACAGTAATAAATTCTAAACACGACAATCTCAAAAATAAAGTTTTTGAAGCATGTGACAAATATTTCTCAATTTTTATAAATGTGACTCATCCAATTTTCGCTTCCAGTGATGCCACTTGATTCCACACAGCCTTATTTTTAAATATGTATGAAGTTTAGAAATTACACTTATAAACATCAAGCAATTTCAAATTTCAGAAAATATATATGGTTTAGATTTGAAATACTGAATTTCATATTTTTGAACCAATTGAATACATTAAATTTTATAGAAAAGCATAATACCATTTGGATATAAAAAAATATATATATAAAAAAAAAATCTGAAAAGCATAAAATATGTTTATGAAATTTATTTTATTTCAACATAGAATAAATTATATGATGCAAAATATACATTGTCTCTTTTGAGAAGAGTGCTTTTTTTTCTTTTTGATGAACTACTTGATAAATAAAATTTTCACTGCCAAAATATCTTCACAATGTTTACTGTAAAAAGGTCTGAAAAGAAAAAGTAAATTTGTTTTAGAGGAAAATTTAATGAAGACAAAATATCAAGTAATAGAAAAATCAATTACAGGGCAAAAGTTTTGTAACGTACAGAATTGTCATAATTTAAGCAAGATTTTTTTTACTAAATCAGGTAAATTCCTCCTCCAATCCCCATTTTTTTTTCTATCCTATGAAATCATCAAATACAGTAGGACCTTGATTATCTAAATTAATCACAGTGTGCGTAGCCAAATCTTTGAACAAAGATTAAGCACCTTTTAAGCACTCAAAAAACATTTTTAAGCACTATATACTTTAACAAAATGCAAAATAATTTTCAAACACTTTACATGATCATGATAAAATAACTAGTTTTTGATAAAGAACTCTTTTCTTGATTATATTAGTCATTAAAAAAGGGTCAAGAGATTTTCCGGTTCGATTTCAGAAGGTGGAAAATGAAGCTTGAAATTGAGAATATCTTGCAAAAAGCACCAGAGTTGCACATGAGAGTGCAACAATCTCACAGAACTCAGCTCACTGTACGCACATACGGACTCGCAAGTATTTCATCAAATCTGCAAAATGATTCTCGCTTTCATACGATGTGGATTTTAGTATGCATCAATCACATCAGTAGGCACTGAAAGAAGCTTCTCAAGGTATAAAAACTTACTTCTTCCAAGCAAGAGACGCTTATGTGTGCATTACAAAAACAAAAAAACATTCAATATAATTCAGATATCTAGTAATTTTGGAAGTTTTTATGTTTATAAAAACTTATAAATAAAAACAAAATTTTCAGGAGTCAAAACATTCTCCTTTTTTAGCATATAACATTTCAATCTTTAATTAACATAGAATATTACTTAGTGAGTAATTTGACATAAAAAAAAATTATTTTAAGGAAGAAAACAGTTTAATATTTTTACCTTATTAAGAGGGCATTTTTAAGAATTTTTTGCATTTCTAAGGGCATTTTTCGGAGACATTTATAAGGATTTTGGGCCAAACTCCAGTCTCTACTTATAATTAGGTATAATCAGTATCAAATCAGTACTGATATTAACAACAAAACATTTTTTAAATCATATTTTGAAAGAATTTTTGCTACACTGCTCTAAAAGCAATTTTTTTACAAGTCTTGAGAATATTTCAATTTTCAGGGGTAATTGTGAGACCAACTCAAATATCCTGAAAATTTCTTGAGTAATTAATGACATTAATTTTTTGAAATCATTGAATTTCAAAAAATTTATATCTTTATAAATTTAAATCATTGATTTTTTCAAAACATGAAATTCTAAATTAATTATATGCAGCATAATTTAGATGAATGATTACGTATCAGTTTACTTTTATCTCTAATCACTTTTATTATTCTACCAGAAAAAATATTTTCAAATGAAAGCGATGCCAAGCATAAATTAGAGCTCTAATATTTTTATGTAAAATATACAAGAATTTTTATACATAAATGTGATCGGTGATTTCTTGAAACTTCTGGAACTTGGATTCCGGATAACGGTTAGCGAAAAATCCGGATTTTTTCCGGACACAATCGTCTCTGAATTTTTCAAGTTAATTAAAAAATTATTCTGCAAGATCAAGAACAAACATTTACAAAGCATATTAAAAAAGTATCAAACTTATTATGGTGAAAATTTCTGGCTTAAATTCCTAAATAAGACAAGTTTGAATATATATTTTTTTTATACTAAAATACAAATATATTTCATGGACTAAATAAAGATGCTCCAAGCACTATAGATTAGCAGTAAGTGAGATCTATACATAAAAAAGCACCTTTCATGCAACTTCTCTTGCTTTAGCCCTTTTTCCTTGTCCTGGCTTAGGTTTTACTTTTCCTCTCAAAATCTTCTGTCGCACCATTTCTTCTTTGAAATCCAAATGCTCATCTCTAAATATATAATTAAAAGAAATGTGTCAAACTTATAAAATTCTGAAAATGTTTCCATAACAGTAACTATTATTGCCGACATCTATCACCAAAATGATGAAGGGTTTTTTATTGCATAAAATTTTAAAAACAAGGGAATATTTTCATATCAGTATCTGTATAACATAAGTGTCAGTAATTGCAAGGGCCAAAAGGTTTCTGCACAAGCAAATTTTTTCAAAAAATATGTTTTTATTTCATTTTTATAATCTTTGGGTTTAAGACTATTAACATTCAACTCCGCATCCTTGAATATTTTGAACCCAATCCAAAAGACAAGGAAACTCCTGGATTAAGTATTGGGAGAAATTTGCCTTCAAGGAGAGCTTTTTGATGGAACTAACCCGCATTTGCATTACATGGAGAGGAAGACCACAAGAACCATCCACGGTTAGCTCAGACAGCAAAGGGACTCTAACCCATGATCTGTCTACCACTGAGGATATATCATGTTAGCACTGTGGTCGGTGCAAGCTGGAAGCATAATTCGTAACCATTGCCACTCAAATAAAATATGTTATATCCGTCATTGAACAGCCAACCCAATTTTGGGTTTACGACTACTAATGTTCAACTCCGTAGTTTTGTAATTTTGAACCAATCCAGAATACAAGGAAATTCCTGCATCAGTACCCCCAGAGGTATTGATTTGTTATGGGAACATGGAGGACTTTGCGACTCAACAGATTTAATGTGCATCATTCACCATTTACTACAAGGGGAGTCTTCGGTCAGCTGGGATCACACTCATGAACTCTTGGAGTGCCCTACCAAGCCCTCCTGGTGCCCTACCTCCCAGTGCCCTACCAAGCAGGCTTTCTTGGCCAAAATAAAATACCTCTCAAGCAGGCTATCATGGCCAAAATAAAATACCTACCATGCAGGCTATCTTGGCCAAAATAAAATACCTACCAAGCAGGCTATCATGTCCAAAATAAAATACCTACCATGCAGGCTATCTTGGCCAAAATAAAATACCTACCAAGCAGGCTATCTTGGTCAAAATAAAATATGTTGTGATTTGTCCAGGGGTGGCTACAATTTTATATGCTTCAAGCCAGAAATTATCAGTGATTTTTTTTTTTTTTTAGTTTTTTGTATGCCACTGTCTGGAAGCAGCCAAAACTCGGCAATTATTTTCACATAGGTACTGATATGGACATCTTCCCAATATTCTATTGGTTAGAGTGTAGAATCTTGTGCCTCTTGAATTTGCAACAGATTTCGTACAATTCTGCAGAAACCCTGTATCATTGACTTTACCATCAGGTTACTTCAAATTCAGTAACTGTTATGTGATTAGCTCTTGATTTATGTTAATATATCCGTTTACTTTATCACCAAAAAATACGAAGGACACATTAATATAAATTTCTACCATTTTATTACATCTAAGGCAATAGCAGTAAATTTTTGCAACTTTATGATTTATGTATAAACTTTTCTCATTTGGCTGAAATTTCAGTAAAAGTTTGCAATTGACTCGCTTCTGAGCTGTAGCGGCTCAGTGGATAGAGGGCTCACCTCACATTCAGGTCACCCAAGTTCCAATCAAAGTGATGGTTAGTTGATACAAATTCAGCAACATTCTTGCACCACAGTGGTGGCTTAAAATATCCCCAATTGTAGACAGATTATGGGTTAGAGTCCCCTCGTTTCAGGCAAACCATGGGAAATTTATGTGGTTTTCTTTTCTGTGCAATCCAATTGTGGGTTAATTCCATGAAAAAGTCCTCCAAGAAGGCAAATTTCTCCAAGAGTTGGGGAAATTAGCCTACTCGAGTCTCTTAGGGGGTGGGTTTAAAATTACAAGGCTACAGAGTTGAACACTAGTAGCCATAGCATGGGTCAGCTGTTCAACTCCAGTTATAAAATAAATTTTTTCCCCCTGTGCCTTGGTGGTTCATGGAATACAGCTCTCATCTTCTAATAAGGTGACTCAGGCTTGAATCCCAGTGATAAGTTATTGACACAAATTTTGCTCCTGGGTCACACCGAACACAACACTAACCTAAAATATCCTCAATGGTAAACAGATCATAGGTTAAAATACCCTTGCTACAGCAGGGCTAGGCTAACGATAGTAGGTCTTTGTGGTTTTCCTTTCCATGTAACGCAAATGCAGATTAGTGCCGTCGATAATTCCTCTACAAAGGCTAGTTTATTTCAGTGCATGATTCGGGGAGATTTCCATATCATGATCTGTGGCAGAATAATCGCCAAGTATTGGCAACTTCTGACAGTGGCCCACGAGAAACAAAACAACAAAAATTACAGAAAGGGACCACGGGAGATGTCAGTATCATGATTTGTGGCAGAATAATCGCCATGCCTTCGCACTTCCAGGCCGCCAGAAACTAATAAAAACATCACAGAAAGGGACCAACTCAAAAGGTATAACTCGTAGCCACCCTTGGGCAAACATCTACATTTTTTTTCTTCTTAAATTTTCAAGTTAAAATCTATTTAGCACTCTGGCGATTGTAGTGGTGCGACCGATCACGATAAGGAAATATCCCCCCCCCCTGACTCTGGTTCGGGGCCCTTGTCTTCTGGGCTGGGTTTAAAATTACAAGATTACGAAAATGAACATAGATAATTGCATATGCTCAGAATTGAGTTAGCTTTACAACACCGGGCATGAAATTAGGTGCTCCCTTTATTTGAAGATTTTTTTTAAATCAATATTTTTGAAGAAATAAAATCTAGGAACCAATCGCATAACAATGAACTTGAGTTGTAGTAATCTGAAAGTGAAATCACGAAAGCAAAGAACCAGAAAAAAAGAAACTGGATTTTAATAAACACAATCTAATCCGAAATTTCTTACCTAAAAAGTCCATGTTCACGAAGAATAGCTATCAGTTGTGAATATTGGGGGTGCGGGGGATAATGATCAACATAATAAGGGTCTAAATCTTTTGGTCTTGCACTTAAAATACGAACAACTTTCATCGATTTGTTATTTGTTGGACGAGCAACCTCTCCAAATATCCTAGCACTGAGACGAGTCATGCGAGTAGCATAATTTGACATTCCAGGAAGAAAATTCATTTTATATAGATTTTATTTTGATAATACAATCCTTTTAAATAGTAAATTACAAATACTAAACCAACACGGCTTTAAAAGTTTGTAAATAAACAAACTTATTTCCTTTCAGTTCTTGTTTGCATACTGGCGATAAGAAAATAATATTCAATATATGAGTTCTGAAAACTTGATGTGGATTTTGGCGTGTTAGGAATTTTAATTAAATAAGTAAGCAACTAAATATATTGCAATAATTAAATTTCCTTCTCAAATAAATAAATGTTCTTAGATATGTTACACAACCATGACCGTCTTTCAAAACCGGCGAGCGTAATTTAACTTGTTTTGTTTACTTCTCTACGAATACCAACTGTGTCATAAGTTTTATAAAATTTTGATTAAATTCAACATATAANACCCACAGACACAAGTTTCTCTACGAATACCAACTGTGTCATAAGTTTTATAAAATTTTGATTAAATTCAACATATAAATTTAGGTCTCAATATCATTATGTATTCTCCATTTTCCAAAACGCCTGTCTCGGCTATAAAGAAGCAGATAACTAATAAACCAAGTCCCTATTTTTCGCCGTCACTTAAAAGAGTTGCATCTCAGAGGTATTTATGAAAAACTTCAATTAAATGATTTTAGAATCAAATTGAACTATTATTCCTGACTGAGCCAAAATTAGTTCAGTTTTCACAAAACTGTTTCTTAAATTTTTGTTATTTAAATCGACAATATATGTGTTTCTCTTAGTAGAATGTGTACGTAAAACTTGTGAAACTATGATAAATTCTTGTTGATTTCTTAAAATGTATTCAATTATTCAAAATCAGAGCATTAATTGTCATGAAATACTTTATTATATACATTTTATTCACATATTACATTTCTTCAATGTTTACTGAACAGTGCCGCTATTTTATTACGAAATATTATGTTAGTAAATTTTGATGCTAAACCTGGCTTAATCCATTTTATTTGAATTTCTTCAGTTGAGACCAAAATAACTATCTCTTACTTGCCACTTTGCTATTGTTGCTATTAATTTGGGCTTTGGCAATGTTGTTTTTTTTTTTTGGAAACCTTCCTTTATTTTTAGGTTGTCATTGCTTTAAAAAAATTTTCTAAAACATTGCTGATGAAAATTAGTTTTGCTTTGGAGTAGAAGATATAAGTGATTATTTGCTTGGAAAAATCTTATAAAACTTGAAAATTTTAAGTTTCAAAATAAAGCAGGAGTTCTGCCTACTTTCAAGAATAAATTCTTATAATCAAAATAACTACGTACCTGTAACACGTATACAACATGTTTCCTATAAGTTGAAGGGAAAGCCATGTCATGAATCTATGCTCAATTAATAAATAAATGAGTAAAATTAAAAAAAGTTCAAGTCAGATTTTTGTTTTTGGAAATTAAATCATTTACTTCACTAAATATTATTATTTGCTAACTGAAAGTAGTTTCTCAGCCAAGAAGAAAAGAAGTCGACATAATGCAGATTATTTATTGATATGAGTAGAATGAAATTAATTCATTTACTTCACTAAATATTATTATTTGCTAACTGAAAGTAGTTTCTCAGTCAAGAAGAAAAGAAGTCGACATAATGCAGATTATTTATTAATATGAGCAGAATGAATCAATAAAAATATTTTTTTTCTTCCAATGCCTGTGTTAATTCTGTGTTAACATCCGTCAATTCAGGCATTTGCAGGGCGATTTTGTTGACCTCTCTTTCAGGGGCACCATATGAGGTGGGCCAACGTCGCTCCCACAGTGAGGACAGGTAATACAAAGAAGGAAAGAGCATCCATGCCTTGCCTGCAAACCCAGAACCTTTCTGATGCAAGGACAGTTCCCTGCCCTCTACACAGGCCGGCGGACATCAATAAAATATAATGTCAGCTAAACTCAATTTTTGCAATGAAATCTTCTTCTATCATCATAACAGTCCAGTATAGGTCAGAACCATCTCAACAAGTCGTTTCCATCTGACACTGACAAAATAAAATAACAATGTCTCTAAATTCCCTTGAACATGTTAATTAGTACAGACAGCCATGTTAAAGTCTTCTCTTTTTTATGCTCTTTTAAATGCTTGTGATGAAAAAAGTAATTTTTACTTTTTATAACAGAGAATATTTTATCTTATAAATATTCTCTAATAAATGCCAAATAAGTGCCAGTGTTAATAATAAAGAATTTAGTTTAAAAATATTTTTTCTTATTTTTAACTTTATTATTGACACAAATACCAAAGTATGTGATTATCATAAAAAAAAGATTTTGGATAGGCAACTTCAATATCTTCTTAAATTTTTTCAATAAAACATGAAACTTGTTTTATATACTATAAATCTTTTATCTGAGAAATTTTAATATAGCTAAATGTATAAATGTAAAGAAAAGATTGAAATTTTTTTAATGTAAATGACCTTAAATTGCTATGGCCAAAGAAAAAAGAGAATACTTTTAAAAAATATTGATCTATGTAATAAGGATTAATTTAATTATTTGTTTAATTTACCTATGCTTAATTTTGACTGATTCAAAAAGTATTCTTAGCTTTAAAAGTATTATTAAGATCAAAAAGTATTATTCGTTTATTATTAGGATGAATAGTAACTTTTTTCTTTTGCATCTGTGCTTTTATTATTTACATTGTCAGTGATTTAAAGTTCTTGACGCTTTGAATCACTGAGAATTTACATACTTTCTTATGGTACAAAAGTCATGTTTCTTTGTATTGACTTATTTCACTTATATGACTTATTATTGACTTATGATTTCACTTATATGACTTATTATTGACTTATATAACTTATGATTTGGAATATTGTTATATATTAGTATTAACAGTTTTTTACTATAGCATCTACCAGCTTGAATTTTTTTTATAATTATTTTACATTTGTTGTCTATTATTGCTAGCTTTATTGTTGTTTTTAAAAAATTGTGTTATATTAACTCTAGTTTATTTCTTTATTTTTATTACAGTGGCTCTCGGAATGCTTCATTTAACATGAGCTTGTCTAATGCTCTTCTTGATGAATCAAGTATTTGCATGACACAAAATTTTGGTGCACCATTTCCTGTTCTAGTGACCGAAGCCTTATTGAATGCTGAAAGTAAGCAAATGATCTCTTCAACATTACCCGATGTTTAATATATATATATATATCCATTCTCCACTTAAAAAAATTAAAATAATAAACTTAGCTAAAAATAAGTCCATAATATGGCAAAAAAATTTGCATTTCATCCAGAGGGAAGGAAACTATTTCTTTCAGGATGCTGAAAAAATCAGAAGAAACTGGATGAATTAAAATAATTAAATAAAAACATAATCAAATGGAAGAAACGAAAAATGATGAAGATATTTAATTAACAATAAGTATTAGAAATATAGTCAGAATTTCAATAATGGAAAAAAATCCCAAAAATAAAAATGTCTTTAAAAATAATTAAAAAAAATCCTCTTAAAAATAATTTTAAAGAAAATGCCCTTTTGAAAAAATAAATGTAAATGTTAACCTTCACATCAAATTTCAATATGTAAGTCATACGATTTGCCAACAATCGGTCATATTTAGACACAGTTTCTTTTGTGTTTTACTACAAGTATAAATTACAAGTGAGTGTTGTTTATAAAATTAAAGTAATTGTCAACATAATATAAACTTAATACTAATAATTTAAATAGCTTTCTTTCAACCTAATCTTTGTAAAAGTCACTTAAAAAGGAGGAGAAGGAAGATTACCCATAACAAGACCATTAGTTATTCCAGGAAACCTTTGGTTAATAGCTAATGTAGATTGTTGTAAGCAAGTAGTAGTAAGTTGCACTGGCTTATCAATTTCAACTAGTCTTTAGTGAAATTCTTGCTTTTTTATTTCAAGACATGTATACAAAATCAGCATTGATTGAATTGAAATACAATTATATTACATTAATCTCCTTCAAAATAATCTTCTGCTCACTTCTCTCAACAGTTTTTTTTACCACCAGAAACAATGCAGATTCCCCTTTTGAAATAGTACACAGTTAATTTAGTGCATTCAGCAAGCACTCACCACTAATAAAGGGCTATTAAAGAAGTGCTTGAACCAATTTTTCATCTGTATGGTACACCATCGCTTTGTCCTTCATGTTCTTTTACCACTTACTGGCATGTGGTAGTGATTTAGAGGTCATGAAAAAATTTAGCTATTTTAGTTCCCACGTCTAGTTTTTTTTAAATTATATTCTTAACATGACACACCCACCAGTAATAATATAATCAAGAAAAGAGTTCTTTGTCAGATACTGGTTATTTTATCATGATCATGTAAAGTTTTTGAAAATTATTTTGCATTTTGTTAATGTTTGTAGTGCTTAAAAATTTTTTTGAGTACTTAAAAGGTGCTTATTTTTGTTGAAAGATTTGGCTATGCACCCTGTGTTCTTTTCCTACTTACTGACGTGTAGCAGTGATTGAGAGGTCATGAAAAAAATTTAGCAAGTTTTGTTTGAGTTAAGGAGGAAATAACTTGGGCAATTATAGTTTGAGTTAAAGGAAAGACATTTCTCTTTCGTATTTAGCTAAATTATAATACCACTAGTTGCAAACTCTGCGCATAAATTTTTATTTTCCCAATACGTATTATAGTCAGATACTTTTTAGGGATACTGTTGTTTTCAGATACTGTTGCACCAGTTTCAATTGCAGAGGTGCCAAAGAGATTTTAAATTTGAACATTTAAAAAAAAAAAAAACAGCATGTAGATGTTTGCCTGGGATTTGTTACGAGTTATACCTTTTAAGTCACTCCCTTTCTGTGATATTTTTTCATTTTATTGTGGGCTGCTGCCCGGATGTTGCCAAGACTTGGCGATTATTCTACCACAGATCACAATGAGGAAATATCCCCACTTAATGCATGTATTAACAGACACGTGCAAAATTTATGCATGTTACGATCATGAAGATATTGTGAAGTTTTGTGTATTTAGTTGCAATCAAATATTTTTTTTCTGAAACAGAACTTAGACAAACAATTCTATGTTCATAATCATTCTTGCCTTTTAGAAAAGAAATTTCTTTATTCTTTAAAGTATATCAATTTTAAGTGTTTCTATTATTTTATCAATTTACCAACTATTAAATATTGCTATTTGTTATCTTTGTTCATTATTTTTTTAGGAAACTCTGATATATCAGTTAAATTAGAGACATTTGGATATGCTAGCTTGGTGTGTGGACGCCAGTTGTTAATATGGCGTTACAAGCAGGAAACCAATCAAGATGTTGTGAGTTTATTTTTAAATTACAACCAAAAAATGCTGTTCAGAATTTCAATTTATTTGAAAGCAAATAGGTTATGTATTAAAATAAAAAAAGCAATACACTTGCGCTTTGTTTTGTGAACTTACTGGTTAATGGGATCAGTCGTTTATTATCACCAAACTTCCAAGAAAAGTATCATTTCTCTATAATAAGATTGACATTTTTTTCTTATCAAACTTGCCATTACCAAATGTTTTAATCAGTGTTGAGATTTCGTTCAGAAGATCCCTATTTCTTCTAGAACACTTAAAGATACTGAAAGAAATTGAAGTAATTAAAATTGATCATTACAATTGTTTAATAATAACTAATAAGTATAGTTCAAATTTAAAACAAATGAAATTTGATAGGGTATTGTTTTAAGAAAATTTACGCCAATTTTTGTGTTTTTAAAAAACTACTTCAGATTTTCTTTTTTAGTTTTGTTCAGAATTTTAAAATCTATATGTCATATCATAATAATTTATTTTCAGTTTTGATTTATGTTTTGAAAATGTTATCCTCGTTTTCCTAGATAAATTATGTGCTCATAAATTTTCAACGATATAACTATCCAAAAAATACCCCTAAAAATATGTAGTGTACAATATTAATTCAAAAGTTATTACTTTGTTTAACAAAAAAATTTTAAATTGGTTAAATTTTTATTGCACATTTTTGTAAGGCCAATACTATCAATATTTTTTTCTTCTTTTTTTTAAAAAAAAAAAAAAAAAGAAAACTCTGATTTATTGAACAATAAAATTATAACCAATTTTCATCCATAAATTTATAATGTTTGTGAATCTTAAGCTAAATACTTTAAAGCTATCAAAATACGATTATTATTAACTATACGATTTATTATTAACTATAATAATACTAGAACTATAACAATTTATTATTAACTATAATAATACTAGAACTGTTATAAATAATTGAAAAACCAGCAAGTTTTATTTCTTAAAATAAATACTTTAGAACTGAAAATGCACTTTAAAATGTTTTTGATTATATTATTATTTGATTATATTTTGATTTTGATTTAAATGAATTTTCCATGATTTGCAACTCAAATATTGTAAAAGCTTTTAAAATGTTTATCATTTGAAAAATTTCATAAAATTAATTATTAACTTGAAAGTGATAATTCAGTATTTTGCAAACAAAAATTTACAGTTAAAATTTTTTAAATTTATTTTATAAAGTAAACCTGCAATAAAAATATTGATTGATAAATACTTTTATGAATGCATTATGATGTGTAGCATAATTCAATAATACAATACAATTTGATTATGATGCTTTAAGAGTTCTTTTTATAATTATAAAAGAAAGTTCTACCCTACTTCTTTATATAAAATTTTAAAGACAAGAAACTAGAATTGTTTTAATTTCTTAATAATTAATATATTTTTTCTAATGTTAGCTTTTTTATTCATTTAAAAATCATTTGTTAAAGGACTCTATTTAAACTAGAACTGTTTAAAATTATTACTTAATACTTGACATTTCTTTATTAAAAAGAATTTCTTTCACCTGTGTTGGTAAAAATTTATTTTAAGTTTTTTTATCTGTTTTTGTGGAAAAAACCTACCCTCCCTTGTTTTAATTAACATTTAATCTAACTGAACACTAAAAAAGTTATATTTGAGTACTAAATCTTTCACTGTAACTGACTAATTTGAAATGATATTTTACCTCTATCTTAGGTTCACTGTAAAGAACTCACTTTACCTCCGAGTGATTTAGCCCATAAAGCAGATCTTGTTCATCTTTTTTTAACTGAAGACTCGCACCTCCCGTCTGCCCTTGCCGTCTCTCCTGAGGGTCACGTTCGATACTGGCCTAACATAAATCATGAAGGTTCATCCGTAGATGCTTCAGCAGATCTACAGGGACAAGAATGCTACTGTTTGACATCAGTTTATGTAAGATTATTTAATATTTATTTCGCTTACATGGTTTATATTCTGACTAACATTAGCTGCACCAACAAACTAGATTTGGATTAAATTATCTGAACTTAAGAAGTCCATTTTTTTTAATATCTGAATATTTAATGACAATTTCAAGTGGAAGAAAATTTTTGCTTCTAATTTAATAAAAGGAAAATTTTTATTCTGTATTCTTCCAAAATACTGAATACTTAATCTAATCACTGTGTTTGTTTCAAGCAGAATAATTTCTTAAGAAGTAAATTTTATTATTATTATTTATTTATTTATCTTTTTTTTGTAGTACCATAACCACAGAAATATATAAAAACGCTTTTTCTATTTTAAAAAAAAATTAAGACACATTTTTTTTTTTTTAAATTTTGATATTTAGTGGTATGTGTTAGATGGTTTAAAACAAATTCTTTTACAATTTACGTTACGATTTTTATCTGATTGCATTCATATTTCTATAATTTTTTCTATTATTATTTTTATAGCCCCTGGGGTGTATATTGGCCACCACTACTAGTTCTCTTGTGTTGATTACTCCTACTACAGGCGAAGGACAGGTATTTCAGTTACATTTATAAGTTCACTGGGTAAAAAAAAAAGTTACTCCTAAAGAAAATGTGAAAAACACCATTTTTTTTTTCAATAATAGTTATTGTTTTTCTTATGAGTTATTATTTTCTTTGATCCATTTCTTAACCAGAACTTTCATAATTAAATGGTTTAATTTATATTGAGAAAAGCTGTGATTTAGATCAATATCAAAATTTAAAACATGTATCACCCCTGGCTTAACCAGAAGTGACGTACCTGTAAAACCTTGTAAACTCAGTTCCTAACTGCTAGTCAGAGGTGGAGTTACACAGTATCAAATGATGCTTTCAATAATTTCTCTTGGAGTGAATAATTTTGTGAAATCAAACTCTCAGCAAATGGATTTATCCAGAAGCAACAAGTCTGCAAAACCTTATCAACTCACTCTCTAACTGGCGATCAGAGGTAAAGTTACATAGTATCAAATGATGCTTTAATAATTTCTTTTGGAGTAACAAATTTATTATCTCGACTGTAAGAATAATGCTGATGGAATATCGTTCGTTAATGGAACAGTGAACTTTTACAAAATAACAAATGATAGAATAAATAATTTAGTTGTGTGGAGAGAGGATTATCGACAATGTCAACCTTCATCAATGAAAAGGTATCCCGGCATAGAGTCGAGTGAGTATGCCTCATATACTAATGAATTTGATCTGAATAATTGTAATGGTAGACATGCTACAAGACTCCCCCACCGGAATTTTTACAGGGATAGAATTTGATGAATGACACCAGTAGATGCTGTATTTGTGAAAGATCGTGAGAGCTGTATTAAATTTGCAGAGTTTTGAGCATTTGGCATGAGAGCTGTATTAAGTTCACAGTTGTGTGTGGTCTCTCTTGTGTTACTATTAGCCGTCAAGTGTGTGGAGAACCTCGTTGTGTTTAATAGAGACTGAATAGCAACTGCATGAGGAGGACAATGACGCAGCAAGTCAACTGTGTTCACTGTGAGCCATCCATCAAAGTGGGCGCTACTGACAATGTAGGCTCATTCAAATTGCATCCATATGGGGAATTGAGTTTGACAATGCCAAATTTCATCTATCAAAAGGTGCCCCAAGATAGAATTGAGTTAACACGTCTTATATACTAATGAATTTGAGTTGAATAATTGTTGTGCTAGACATGCTACAGTTGGTTTGATCTTATTATGTATAAATATCTGTTTCAATTTCCCAAGATGCCTGTATAATGTATTTTGTATGCTTAATATATTCATTTAATATTTCAGCCAAATGTTATCTGCCGTACACTTACATTACCATTAGGAGTTTTGGCAGGCATCGGTCGAAAAGTGTCCTCCTTTATCTTTGGTGTTGTTCCCACTCAAACTACGGAAACAGTAAGTAATTTTTTCCCTTCTGCTATTTTTCTGAGCATAAATAATTTTTCAATTGTAACAAATCGTATTTTTGTATATCTGTAATACTACTGTCTTAATTTCATTACTATCACATATAAATTTAGAGGCTAAATAAGATTTTATAGAATGTTCTGGGTGCATAGTATTTTTAAAAAGTGCTTATATTTTATTTATATTTTTTAAAAGTCCTTAAAGATGTTTTTTTTTATTTATTCGGGTTTTGTAAAAAGCGCTTAATTTTCTGTCTTTTGAAAAGAGATTTTTTCTTTACCGTGTCGATTGTTGTTCTAAATTACGAAAAATGCATGGTTTTTGCAATTTTCTCTGCAATATTTATCAGAAACTAGTTATTTTATCATGATTATGTAAGGTTTTTCAAAATGTTTTTGAATTTTATTGATTTTATGTTCATAAATTAAAAACTGTAAGCGATGAAAAAAATTTTTTATTACTGCACAGTTCCTAATTATGTTTTTTTTTTTGTTGGAAAGAGATTAGAAGTATTTTTTGAGCTCTTAAAAAGTACTTAAAGGTTCTTATTTTTTGTTGAGAAATCTGGCTACACACCCTGTTGTTGTTCCCATAACCATTATTCCCTAAAATCATACTGGTTAAATCATAAATTTTAACTAACATGTATTTTTAAAATAAATTGCTAAACTTATTTTTTCTAAATATTTTATTGAAGTAAAAAGTTATTTATTTTTTAATTATTCAAAATTTAAATTTTTTTATTCTAGGGCAAAAATTTAAAACTAGTTTTAAGTTTTTGCCCTAGATTTTATTTTCACTGTGTAACATTGCATAATGCAATTTCTACTATCGGAGGGGGGGGGATGTTTAGACTTGTCTGTTTTTGTCCTGATTAATAAACTTACTGGCATTATCACCCAGTAAAATTTTAAAAAAATCTTATTTATTTTTTAATCCTGACTGTTCATATATGTTTAACTCATATCTCTATTACTGTTTACTTTTCCAACAGAAACAGCTGAATAGAGTTCTTTCTGTGAAAGAAAATGATGATGAGTACACTGTTTATGTTCTGAGTACCAACACTCTTCAAAAATGGAGTATTATTATAAAGGACAAAAAAGAAAACACAGACCAAGTATTTCTATTATTGCTTTCACTCCTTAAGATTATGCTCTCCGATCATTAGCTTTTTAAATACTCATTGTAATTTACTTATATTCCTCCCCCTTAGCTCATATTTGAAATGGATCTTGATCGAGAATTGAAGCAGTGCTTTGCAGAAACCTTATATGTAAGATACATTTATTTTAATTTAAAGCTGTTGCTGATGTAAACTGTAAGTTTATGACCTGCTAGCTAGACATTGCATGTAGTTAAGAAAACAATGTATTTGGTGCACATTACCAATTTTCATAACAAGTACACAAGTAGCCTGCAAATGTGTAACTATAATTAAACCTTGAGTATCAGACAAAAAATGCTAAGCACTTGCTAAGTTTTTACGGATTATTTATAAAATTTACAGATTTATGTCTAATTTTACAGACTTATGGATAGTCTGGAAATTTGTTGATTTTGTGATTTTGAAACTTTTTCTTTCCCCTTATCTTTTTTCTTTTTACAGTTTTCCCCTGCGAGCAAATTAATATTTTATTTCGGTATGAGAAGAAAAGAAGGGCCTAAATAACACATTTGTGATATTACATACATAACGTATATTAACATACATATAATAACATATATTATGCGATGAGATTTACATATTTAGCTTTTTCGGGAATTCTTCTCGAGTTTGAGTCCAACCCTGCTATGGAATCGAGAGTAAAACATTTCTAATGGGGGCGAATTAAAAAAGTTTCAGAGTCTCCCTAAACTAAACTAAGCTCTGTGGCGTGAAGTCCATAAAGGGCCAAGGCCTGTGTCTATCTCAGTTTTCTTGACCTTGGGTCCAGGAGTGCAAGAGCAGATGCTCTAGTTGGATGGTCTGCCGAACACAGAACCCCCAACGTTTAGTCCCCAAACCCAAACATGCTTGGTACTCATTTTAATAACCCACTGATGAAATGAAAGACTGAATTTACTTTGCCCGACCCAAGGATTGAACCCAGGACCTGTGGCAGAAAGCGCTACAGGGTGCATAACGTTTTTAAAAAGTGCTTACTTTTCTATTTTTTAAAAAGAGTTTTTTTTTTTCTTTGCCTTGTCAATTGTCGTTCTAAATTACAAAAAATGCATGATTTTCGCAATGTTCTCTGCAATATTTATCAGACACTAGTCATTTTATCATAATCATGTATAGTCTTTGGAAATGTTTTTAAATTTTATTGATTTTATGTTTATAAGTTAAGAACTTTAAACAATAGAAAAAATAATTTTTATTACTGCACAGATCCTAATTATGATTTTTTTTGTGGAAAGTAATTAAAAATATAATTTTTGAGAGCTTAAAAAATACTTAACAGGGTGCTTATTTTTTGTTGAAAATTCTGACTATGCACCCTGAGTCAGCCACCGAGCGTCACAGAGTCTCTCTACCTATCTCAAAGCGAAGTGGCTAATCCAGCGTCCTGTTAGAATTTAGTGAGTGTAAATGCAAACATGCTCTCATGAAGGCTATTCGATTCGTTTTATTCCTCCCTCCCTATCTCTTTGAGTCTCCTCTCAGTGAATATGGTGTTACCATCAACAATTTTGCCATTTTCCAGTTTTGCTCTGCCTCAGCCAATTAGCATTATCATTAAGCTCATGTATCGTAACACAATTGAGGGAGTTGTTACCTACTGTGATTGGCTGAGAGAAATTTTTCTTATTTTGCCAGCAGAGAGTGCATTGATGAAGTATTTTTCTCAAAATAATTATTATTTAAAATTAATTTGAATATCTATTATAAGTAAATTTAATGCTAAATATTCATGTATGTTGCAGAATAATTAGCTTTTAAAGTCTATGATAATACTAATTCACATTTTTATCATGTTAGATATCAAGTGAACAGTTATGTTTTACAAACATTAGCTTTTTTGTTTAGGAATTATTATGTCAGAGAAGTTGACAAATGAACCAAAAACAAAAGTTATACTTATTTATTGAAAAATTAAAATTAACTTACTGGTTCAGTTACTGGTGAAACTTTGGCACAGTTATATCACCTGGTTTTAAAGCATCACAGCATGCCAACACATTATTTTTTCTTCCTTTCTACTATTGTACTAATTGTTCAGTTCCTAATTTTGATTAATTTTTTCAATGTTTTATCTTTATAATTTTTGTTTATAGTTTGTTTTTATAATTTTGCTTATTGTTAAATTGACTTTAAAACCTTCATTTATCTGAGAAGTATTTAATGCTTGAGTAATTATTTATTTTAAAAAATTTTTCGTCTTTGCTACCCAAAACTGTATAAATTTTAAAGGTCTGTGTTGTAACTCTCAAGTAGGAGGATAACTATAGTCTTTTAATCAATTTATTGATGTTTATCATTATAATTATGCAAGACTGAAAAACTACATTTTTAAAGCAAAGAAATTATAATCCTTTATAAGAGTTTGTTAGTATGCAATTACAGTTGGCAACAACTATATCAATTGAATATCACAGTTTCGTTTGGTTGTTCCTTTTTCCGGCCCCATTGTAGATTTCATTTCATTTAAGGCCTATATTCTGTCAAACGCTAATGCAAATATATAGCTATTGTAAGAATCTATGAAATGTATGTAGAAATCAGGGTTTGAAAAAACCCGGGGATTTTTGAAAGAACCCAACCCGCCTGGGTTTTATTGAAAAAACCCGGGGGAAATTGGGTTTTTTCATTTAGTGCTCATAAATTTTACTGTGAAAATATTTTTATTTATTAAATAGTATTGTATAAGTAAACACTAAAATTTCATCTGACTTTTACCTGTAATAAAATTAAACTGGAATAAATATTTAATGGTCTTCAATGTTTTTATAATACGATTAATAGAAAGTGAAATTAAAATTATGTATAATTATAAAGAGTATCAGTTACTTGTCCCTTTTTTCAAATATTTAGATAAATATATGCATTTTAACTTTATAGTTTCAAAAAACAAATTAATCTTAAAATTATAAAAAAGCATATATAAAAAGTTATAGCTTATTTTTTTAAAATCAGATAATAAAACTTTAAATTTGTTTATTGTTGTTTAATGTATCACTTAATAAA